CTTCTACTACGCGCACTCCTACTTCTACTTCTACTTTTACTTCTACTTCTACTACTACTTCTACTACTACTTCTACTTCTACTTCTACTTCTACTTCTACTTCTACTTCTACTTCTACTGCTACTTCTACTTCTGCTACTACTTCTACTACTACTACTACTGCTACTACTACTACTACTATTACTACTACTACTACTACTACCACCACCAATACTACCACCACCACTACCACTACTACTACCACCACCACCACGACGACGACGACTACTACTGCTACTGCTACTGCTACTGCTACTGCTGTTACCACTACTACCACTACTACTACTACTACTACTACTACTACTGCTACTACTTCTACGACGACGACTATTACCCACTACTATCTACTACTACCTACTACTACGAAAAACTTCTAACTACTACTAACGACTACTAACGGCTACTAACGGCTACTAACTACTACTAACTACTACTAACTACTACTACCTACTTATACCTACTACTACCTACTACTACCTACGACTACTACTACTACTACTACTATTACTACTGCTACTACTACTACTACTACGACTATCACTACCACTACCACTACCACCACCACCACCACCACCACCACTTCCACTAACACTAACACTACCACTACCGCTACCGCTACCACTACCGCTACCGCTACCACTACCACTACTGCTACTACTACTACTACTATTATTATTATTACCCCTACGACTCCTATTCCGTCTCCGACTTCGAACGCAACGGATATTCTGTTACAGGACTCGTTCTTAAATGAAGTATTGAACAGCCGACATGGGACATGGCAGTCGTCGCTGCAAGATTCCGCAAAACAATTGGGCTCACATTACGTAGAAGTTGGAGCAAACCCACTTAGGATGGAACAACCTCGGCTCAGCAGTTCAGTTTTGAAAGGTCTTCAAAGCGAGATCGATTCGCACCGGCGAGCTGGTGGCCATGAAGCAAATGAAGATCGAAAGCACGGACAGGGTGGCCTTGCGTTTCGCTTTTGATTCACGTTTGCACCATCCGGTGTGGTTCAAATTGTTCAACTAATTTCTCGGCAGCGCGGAATGACCCGTTCGTGCATAGAGCCTACGGTCGATGATGCTTTCAGGTTGCCCGCAGACGGACATAGGGTTTCAGGATTTGTGGCAAGCACTGTTGCACCGCTCAAGCAGAGGTTAGCACTTCCAGAGTCATACACGGACTGTTCAACTCATGGTTTGCTCAAGTATGACACAGGGAAAGTCGGGTCTTTCCGGTGACACATCGACGGGTGCAGTCCTGGGTCAGATCTATTATTTACTGGCGCAAGTTTCGCATCCCCAGGGTTCAGACTCTTCAGACACACGTATACCATCAGTCCTTGTGACAAGCCCAAAGAACGGAAACAAGCAAACCAGCCAGAACCGGGGACCATGCTTATTATTAATGATGGTTCTTGAACGTGTTCGTGTTTTGACAGATGGGAAGACATGCTCAAGCCCACCAGCAAGCTCAGAGAGAAGTCAGCAAAAAACACCGAGTGCAACTGTGCACTGCAACTATCCCGGACCTGCTAAGTAGACTCACACATGTCGAACTTCTGCAGAGAAGCACCTCTCCGTCATATCAACTTTGAGGGCTGAAGAGCAGCAACAGCCGAAAGTAGAGCATTTACTTAAACTCGTGAAGGAGGATGGAATGCCTGGCACTGCCCTGCGCGAAATCGCTCTTCTGAAGGCAGGGTATCTGCGGGCTTGGCGTCCTGGAAAACCGAGTACACGGAGCGGGGCTTTGTATTTGACTCCTCCGCGAAAGGCTAAACGATTGGTTTAAATGTCAAAGTGTCCCTGTGGCAGCGCGAACATTCATTTGCAGCACTTGGCCACGAATCGTGCCTGTGGAACATGTCGAAAACCAAAATCAGCTGGCCCGATAGAAACTGATACATGGGCCGTATTCCAGCAACGTGCTCGGAAACCGACCGTAGATTGCCTGCTACCTGTGCATTTCCTCCCGGTTGGAGTGATTCCCTGAGAATTAGGCGACTGCCAACGAGCTTCAATGAAAGCTGAACTAGCGAAGGAGCTCAGGGATCACGAGAACATCGTGCGGCTCATCAATATCTTCTACAAGCCCAACAAGCTACTCTGTCGGCAGAGACACGTTGCAGACAAAGTCTTCAAGCCAGCAGGTGGAAGGTTGACAAGCACAGAACACAGGGAACCCTGCACGTTCTTGATTTTGATGAACGAACTGGCGCATTCGAGGTGTCCGGAGACTCATATGCAAGGGGTAGATGCCACTGCTTTGCATAGAGGTTGGTGCTGGTCTTCGAATACGTGGAGAACGACCTCAAGAAGTGCTCACTGCTTGCGAAGCTGAGCCGTTTCGTTGCAACATTGCATCGGACATAGAACTCCAGGCATGTGATTAACAGATGTACCATGATAGCCGAGTGACACGAGAAGCCTCAAAAAGTGGACTGGCCATTGGAGACGGATGTCTTTGTGAAGCCATATCAAAGGCCCAAGCTCCGGCAAAAGCGCCACAATCAGGAAGATAACAGGATCATGGTTGGGAGATTGCCATTTCTTCTACAGCAACAACACAAAACCCTCATAGCTCCGGGTCCCAAGATTTCGGCATCCGGGGCACCTTCCCGTACTCAGCCTTACTCCATGCTCACATCACCTCGCCATGCTTGGGGCCTTGTTGTCCTTGGAGCCGGGGGATTTGGACTTCATGAGACTTCGCCTCACTTAGCCATTGTCGATCTGACGTAATGAAAACACCAGCATGTGGACCGAGGAAAGGCTTGCCCACCGTTCCAGGAGGCGGCCCCCTTTGCGTGAGGATGGCACCGAGCAAGAGACCTTGGGAAGCAGCCGCGGAGCTTGGGCATAAAGACCGGCCCTGTTCTTTTGGAAAGCTTCCTAGAAGTATCCAAGAGTCCAAGAGCTCTTCCTCTGGGCCAAGGAGATGCCTGGGTTTCAAACAGATCTCTCGCCAGTGGCAGCAGCCCTGCCAACACCTGCCGTGGATCGGCTTGCGGAGGACATGTGTGGCTGGCAGCGAGCAGTAAAGCACCACATGACACGGCAGGTGACCACCCTTCGAAACGTGCGCGAGGAAAAATCCGTAAACTTAATTTGCTTTGGATTAAGTATGATGGCCTGGATGCGGCGACGAGTAATCGAGTATTTCCATCCATTCCCCATTCGTAAGACAGACGCAGACACTTACAGCAGAACAAAGCATAGTTGCATAGTTCTCAATTAGATTCCTGGTCCCCCAACGGCAGAACAAGCAGGCGAGAAGAAGCAGGCGGTAATACCGACAAAGTCGAGATTCGACTATCATGAGCCGGCCGGAATAGATTTCCGGGCCACCCCTGGAAGCACTGGAAGCACTGGGGAAGGTGGTTCAGGATTGCGTTCTTAGCGTTTAGTCATGTCATCTCGTATTTCAAGTCGTACCCGGAGGGCGAGGACAACAAGACAGTCAGAGCAACAGGGGCGAGCTTCGAGCAGTGGGGGTACAGCGCTTGATGGGAAGTGAAGGGTGTCTCCCTGACAGTAAAAGGTCCTGATCGCACATCGTTCCTTTGCGCCATGCAGATACAGTATGGAGATCCAGGAGGCTCCGAAAGCCAGGGCGGGGGGACTTCACAGGAACCATGCCACCAGGTCAGCTGCCCTCAAGCCGCTGCATGTTGTCATGCATGGTCACGCAACGTCACGCTATTAGTGGTTACGTGCCTGCCCTGTCCAAGCACAACGATGGGGTGTGCGGGCAACTGGAATCTTTAGAAGTTTTCGCGATCTGGTTATTAACTAAGACGGTAAAGTTTGATGTCGGCGCAGCTTGTTTGTGGGTAACTTGTCTGCTGACATCCAGCCCAGTTCACTTTGGGACTTCCTCCTGAGCCAAGATGAAGTTAAAACCTCGGTATACAGAGGGCTTTCAAGAATGATTCTTTATCTTGCAGGCGCTTCGGTCATCAGAGCCAAATCCTAACGCGAAGACGTGGCATTGCATAGCACTTACCGCAGGACTTCATGAAGAGCAGTCAGGCCCGCAGCCCCTTCGCTGCATCCTTGACAGCGTATCCTGCGAAGTCTCGAGAGACTGAGCCCGCAAGCGGACATGCAACTCCCGTCATTTGCCACTCGGAGAGAGATAAACATTTTGGAAGTTGTTTTTGGTGACAGCTACAGCCCGCGGAACACTTGCTCTGGGGCCGGTTGGAAATGCTAGGTGACTCTCCAAGCTTGGGCCCTGCCAAAAGGCCATCGACCATCAATGACAATCTGGCAGCGTAGATCCAAACAAGGGATGGAAGAACCCTTCCATTGCAGGAGCACCCCTTAACACAGAGTACACGGCACTGTCGCTGGAACACGATTTCGGAACTCGCGACCCGGAAATATGCGCGGCGCTGTGGTGGGAGCGACATGCTGCCAATTGTGGAAAGCTAAAATCCACAAACTCTTAGAACATCGAGTACTAGTAGCTAGTATGTACAGGGTGCGAATGAGAAAGCTTGAAATGCTCGGACACAGGGAGCATATAGGCAGTATAGGTCCAGGTATACGTACATTGACATACATATGGATTACAGCAGAGTAATGTGATTTGAGACGCTTTGCGGTTGTTATGATTTCATGGGCTCTGCATGCTCTGCTAATCTGCAGTATGGCTGTGATCTAAGGCCTCGAGCCCGAGCTCGTGGAGGACACGCAGCCGGAGCTGCCCGCAGGGGAGAATATGCTTTCCTTCGGTAACCAGGTGCTTTGGCCATGGGCCAGAGTCGAAGTTGGGTTTGCCAGTACGAAGTCAGGCGAGAATATGGCTACATCATGCTACATCCACGTCTGTGTTTCTGTATTGATAGGCTGCCTGGGACTGTCGCAGGTCGCATGCAGGGGTCTTGCCTGTGAACTTGCATACGGGATTTGTGACAAGTTCAGCTGTCTCCGTGAGTATTGGAGTCTGTGATATGAGTTGATGGATCCGTCGGCAGCTTCGGTCGTAACTACTGCAGGTGGTGGAAATCGTGGAAGATGGCGACTGTGAGCCCCAGCACTGTGGGCCACGAAGAACGGTGGTGGACGAGGTGGGTCTGAATACGCCACAAAGTCGCAGAGACTAGATAATATACACCCCACAAGCTTGACTCCGAGAGGCCAAAAGGCACCACCGAATGTCAGACGTAGGTTCCGTACTCGTCGTGTCAACTCATACGTCATACACACGGGAAAAGGCGATCACACGCCTGAGGTCGTGCCGGTCCGAGCCTTCGGTGCACAAGCCCGATCAGCCTTCAGACCGCCTCAAGCCATTGTCCGAGCAGAGCCTCTTCATGAATGGTACATTTTGCGGAGCTTTGGAAGTTGATCTTCTAGTGACCTAGTGGGAGTACTACGACACGAAGTGCGACTCTGCAGATGCAGTTGCAGCAATGCTGCAGAATTGTCTAGGCCATTGATTTGCGACCGACATCATACCTCTGCATTGCATGAGCGGGTCCACTACATGCAGAACCGTCGTAGCACACTTTGGCATTGTAGGCTTTCCCATGGCACGACTTTTCGCACTTTCCAGTGGTACTCTTGTACTCCTGGCTTGCTCTTGCTTCCAGCACATCCCCTGCCTCCAACTCTCGTTTCGAGGAGGCGTGTGCATTGCCGACGGCTGTCAGCATGCAGCCACCGGATGCAGAGCCTGCTGTGTTGCTCTCGGAAGCACCGCTCCTGGGCCCACAGGCCCTTGGACTTTGAACTGTCCTGAAGATGTTTTTGGTGGAACCAAGCCGGGCCACAGATAACTGCAAATCTCGCCTTCGAACCTAGCCCGGCATCACTTCGAACTCGCACCGAAGCGCTCCCAACAGGTAATCGGATGTAATCGGGTTCCTGATTCTTGTAGAGAAGAGCCTTGCATATCACGTTCGCTTGACAGCCCACTTGCCTTCTGGAGGCGCGATTGGCATTCAGACCGCCACGGGCGCTGGAACATCCCAGTCCGGCTCCTGAGGCCTTTCGACGCAGGATTGGCAGGGCAGGTGGTTCTTCTGCGTGTTGTTGTCAAGATGTGTTCAGCAAAAACTTTGAGATTGCCCAGCAGGTTGGAGGCGATGTGACTGAAAACGTAATGTGCTCTTCATAGGGGACTACAGCGGCCGAATGTGCCAAATCTGGGATGCAACTAGGGCCGGGCCAGAGAGCGGTGTGTCTTGTGGTTATGGCTTCTGATTGTGTCATCTCGGTAGTGATCAGAACGACTTATGGCAGTATGTTAAACTAACCGTCTTCAGACTGCGCATCGCATTGCCAGTTGCCGGGCCCTCCGGTCAACCGAGGATGGCGGTTTGACTTTGCTCGGCCCGGGTGCGCGAGCACAATTCAAGATACTCGGCCCATCAATCACATTCCCGGTTTTGGGGTGGGCCGCTGTTGGAGGGGACATCTTCCGGGCACAGGTGCGGCGCTGGTGCATTAGGCGACCCAGCTACTCGTGCCGGTTTTGCGTCCGACAAGCAGCAACAACAAGCAACAGCAGCAACGGGCGGAGGCGGAGCGCCAAGGCAAGCACGATCTTGATGAGGTCCGGGCTTCGCTCTTCAGAAAGCATAGGGCATAGGCATAGGGGCCGCAAAGTCTGTGAACGTCACAATGCCGCCCAGGAAGCCCAGATGTCTGGCAGTGCCCACCCCAGCGCGGGCTGGAGTCGGCCAGACAGAGCCACTGCATCACTAGGGTCGAAACTCTAGTGAGGGCCCGATATCTTTCGAGCTTCATTTGGGAGCAACGAGGAGACTGCTGCAAAGGTGCACGGCAGCGCTCAAGATCACGTTGCAAAGGGGAAGTGAAGGGGCAGCGGGACATAAAATGAATGTGTGCGTGCACGTGTGCTCGCCTGTCTGTCTGTCTGTCTGTCTGTCTGTATGTATGTATGTATGTATGTATACACTGTCTGTATGTATGTATGTATGTATGTATGTATGTATGTATTTATGTATGCATGTATGCATGTAGGCATGTATGCATGTATGTATGTATGCATGTATGCATGTACGCATGTACGCATGTATGCATGTATGGATGAATGTATGTATGCATGAATGAATGAATGAATGAATGTATGTATGTATGTATGTACGTACGTACGTACGTACGTATGTATGTATGTATGTATGTATGTGTTGATATATGTATGTATGCATGCATGCATGTATCTATATATGT